GATCCCGGAAGGAGTACTTGAAGATGTGCATGTAATGATCGATGGATGCGTTGTCCCAACAGATTTCGTTGTGCTGCATTACAAGAACGAACCAAGGGATCCGATTCTATTAGGTAGACCATTCCTTGCTACTGCAAACGCCAGTATCGATGTCAAGGAAGGACGTATAAATCTTAACATAGGCAACATTCCTACGAGATTTGATATGGAAAAGATTATCACACTTCCTTTGATAGATAAACCATTATCTTATGTAGATGAGATTGATGAGCTGGCCCAAGAATCTTTTGAGAGATCGTACTCGGATGATCATCTGGAAAATGAGCTTGTACTCGCTCAGAACGAAGTTTTAAGCATAGATAACAGAGCAGACGAGTGCGATCGTCTCATGGAGACTGGTCAAGGAACCTCAGGTCTCGAAACCAAAGGTGATGATAAATCAAAGATCGCTATCGATCGATATCTCGATACTAATATCGATCGACAACCGCCATCATTTGGAAATATCACACAAGAAAAAGTACCAAATGTGGAGCTTAAGCCGTTACCCGCTGGGCTTAAGTATGCTTTTCTTATGGACAAATCCTATCCAGTGATAGTTAACGCGAATCTCACTAATGAGGAACTTGCTCTATTACTGAGCAAACTTTGCAAGCATAGGAAAGCACTTGGATACTCTTTAGATGACATCCCAGGCATCTCTCCTGGCCTTTGTATGCACCGGATCCATCTGGAAGACGAATCCAAGTCATCCATAGAGCATCAGAGACGACTAAACCCAAATCTCCAGGAAGTCGTGAAGAAGGAGATCATCAAACTGCTTGATGCTGGGATAATCTATCCAATTTATGATAGCAATTGGGTAAGTCCGGTCCACGTAGTACCCAAAAAGGGAGGTATTACAATCGTTAAGAACGGAAAAGATGAGCTGATGCCAACAAGGACTGTGACAGGACACCGAATGTGTATCGATTATAGGAAGCTGAATTCTGCAACCCGGAAAGATCACTTTCCTCTACCCTTTATTGACCAAATGTTGGAAAGATTAGCCAATCACCAATACTATTGTTTTCTTGATGGATATTCCAGATTTTTACAAATCCGATACATCCGGATGATCAAGAAAAGACAACTTTCACTTGCCCCTATGGAACCTTCGCATATCGGAGGATGTCATTTGGTTTGTGTAACGCGGCAGCTACCTTCCAACGCTGCATGATGTCAATCTTCACTGATATGACAGAAGACTTCATGGAAGTATTTATGGATGATTTCTCAGTTCATGGATCGAGTTTTGAAAACTGTCTCGACAACCTATGCAAGGTCTTGGAGAGATGTGAGGAAAAGAATCTAGTCCTAAACTGGGAAAAATACCATTTTATGGTTAATGACGGAATCGTACTCGGACACAAAGTATCCACAGCCGGGATTGAAGTAGACAGAGCAAAGATAGAGGTAATGACAAGTCTATCACCCCCGACTAACATAAGAGACATCAGAAGCTTTCTTGGACATGCTGGATTTTATAGAAGATTTATAGAGGATTTCAGCAAGATAGCCAGACCCCTGACTATCCTCCTTTGTAAGGACACTAAATTTGACTTTACACCAGAATGCCAACAAGCATTTGAAAAGATCAAGAAAGCACTGATAACTGCCCCCGCCGTACAAGCCATTCGAAATAATGTGGGATGCGAGTGAATTCGCTGTAGGAAGCTACATGCTATCTATTACGCCAGCCGAACTCTGGACGAAGCTCAGAGAAATTACGGAACAACTGAGAAATAAATACTTGCAGTAGTATACGCTTTCGAAAAATTCCGTAACTATCTAGTGGGTTCAAAGGTCATTGTTCACACTGATCATGCAGCTATTAAATATCTTATGCAAAAGAAAGATGCGAAACCACGACTAATCCGATGGATACTCCTACTCCAGGAATTTGATATGGAAATAAAAGATAAGAGGGGAGTAGAAAATGGTGTCGCAGATCATCTTTCCCGGTTAAGAGTAGACGAAGAAGTCCTATTAATGATTTCATACCGACTGAAAATGTGTACTTCATAGATTCATCACTTATCGGTCAAGTAAAACTCTCCTCCGAACTTGCATCGACCGTTAATACTGAGAGTATTAACTTCGGATATCAGATGTCAATCGATGAACAATCCATCCAATCAATCGATACTAGTGATTCCATGTCGATCGATGGAACTGACGACATTGACCTACGGAACATCTCATTTAAGATCACCATTGACACGACCCCAACTGTGGCCTGCCAAGAAATCGAAAATAGACCTAATATCTCCCATAATGGAGATATTACGCACGAGACGCACGCTGTGGATAAGCGATTTAGCGAAAGACCTTGGTATGCTGACATAGTGAACTACCTTTCCGCAAACGTCGAACCTGAAGAGCTTAAAAACTACGACAGAAAGAAGTTCTTCAGAGAAGTAAGAAGGTACCAATGGGACGAACCTTACCTTTACAAAAATGGGCCGACAGCATATTTCGATGATGCGTAGCTGAAACTGAGCTTTCTGATATTATTTATCACTGCCATGGATCTGAATACGCTGGACATTTTGCAACCTTTAAAACAGTTTCCAAAATTCTCCAAGCTGGATTTTGGTGGCCTATGATGTTCCGCGTTGTTCATGCCTTTATCGTAAAGTGCGACAGATGCCAACGTCGAGGAAAAATCAGCAAACGACACGAAATGGAACAAAAGTTCATTCTTGAAGTAGAACTCTTTGATTGCTGGGGGATCGACTTCATGGGTCCTTTCCCTACTTCTTACGGAAACAGATACATTCTGGTTGCTGTCGATTACGTTTCCAAATGGGTTGAAGCAGTTGCTTCACCTACAAATGACGCTTCTGTTGTTATCAAACTTTTGGAGTCCCTCGCGTAGTTAAAGGGTTTAATCAACAACCGGAATTTTCTCATGAGCTCCAAGTATATGATTCAAACAATGCATACACACATGCATCAATTCTCTAGGGACAAACCTATTGAAACAAGAATACGTATAGTTTTAAGCACTTCCCTTGCATAATAAGAATGGACATTGGCTTCTTATATTAACACCCCTCCTCAAGCTTGACCTGAGAATTAGAGTATATGGTCAAGCTTGGAAGATGAGAGCTAATGATGACCACCAATGCCTTGAGACCACAGCCCTCTAGACTTTAATTGTGGCATTTTTTCTTGAGTGTCTTCATGTCCACCCTCTTGGCATCAAGTAAGTCACTTCTGAGCAATCTCTCCACTGCTCTAATCATCTTCTCTATCAATTTGGGAGTTAATGAGCATAACAATGTCCAAAGGATTGTTGGGAAATGGGAAATCTCCATGGTCAATTATCATGTGTAGGCTCTGAACAACATAGACAATCTATCAAGTTTTGAGTTGAAACCCTAGTACTACACATTTGTGGCACAGATACCCAACTGTGGGTTGCCACATGAGCATCCTATGAGCCATCTTGAGAGGTTTTAGGATCTTATTCCTGATATTAGAGTTAAGAGAGTCCCTGAGGACTACCTACTTTGCAAGCTCTTCAAGTATTCACTTGCTAGAGACACTGCGCATTGGCTCAAGCAGCTACCACCAGGATCTCTTACATCCTGGGCTGACATCAAGAATGCATTCCTGCGCAATTTCTTTCATCAAAATAACACATGAAAAAGTGTTTTGTTTGGATTAGACAACAATGAAACCAATGGATCAAAACAATTTGTCAACTGGTCAAAGAGATGCTCCATTAAGAGAGACATATTATCCAATCGATAAAGCAAAATGGTGAAGCATTTTAGAATCCTTTCTCTTCCTCAGGCTTGATTTCAAGATACTAACAAGTATTGATCAAGCTTACACTATATCAGAGTGGGAGAGAAATGATTTATTCAAAAACTGAGAGAAAATAGGTGAGTTTGATCCCAAACAAGAGTATCAAAGCTTTGATACCATGTTGAAATTCATGAGTGATTGTCTCATGTCAAGAGAGTATTCAGTCAACTTGTGACTGAATCCCCTTTTACCTAACAACATGAACTCACCATTACAATGAAGAGAAAACCAACTTGTGATTGAATCCTCATACACACCTTAATATATAACCAAGAATCCTAGATAGTAAATTGGTTATATGAAGCATAAACTCTCTAGTATGAATCTAATTATTGAGAAGTAACACAACACTTATTGTTTGTGTACTTAGATGAATGGGACTTAGTATCAGTAAGCTAGAGTTTTAGACAATAGAAAAGGAAGAGTCTAGAGTGAGTTTGACAAGTATTAGGCTACCTTAAGAGACAAAGAGTTAAGGTAGCCTCTAAATCATAATGCTTAACCCTTTACATTTTGAATATTAGTTAGACACAAGTAAGAGAGAGAGAGAGAGAGAGAGAGAGAGAGAGAGAGAGAGAGAGAGAGAGAGAGAGAGCACACAACATTTAGTGAGAGAAACTTGTTTATTGATTCTGATCAGTGTTACAAGTGATGAAGCAACCTTTAAATAGGCAATACACTACATTAAACAATTACTAATACAAGAAAACATAAACAAATAATTATGTAGGATTTCTGATGAAGACAAAAAGGATAGAGCCAAGTGATGCATGAACAGAGGTAGTGAGCATCATAAGAGGGAGAGACACAATTTTTTTCTTTTTTGTAGTGACAGGTCCTGCAGCTTCTCTTAAGCAACACGTGTGACTTCTTCTTGTTTAAATCAAACAAGAACTGAGTACTTCCATCCAAACTTGACTCCCTTTACTTTGAACACTCCGAACGTCCATAATGAGGCTCCCCAACTTCTTTCTTGCATTATCTTGTTATCAAGACTTCACTACACTTCATTGCAGTTCACTACACTTCACAGTATTACTATTTATCTTGTTTAGTGCTTCATCTCAACAAAACCATGCTTAGAGCTTCTTGTTCAAGCTCTTGGAAACTGTTGAAGAGGATCATAGGGCTTTCCTCTTGTTTCAGTTTCTCGATCTGCTCTTGAAATGCCGGCAGAAGAAACGAATATGCATTTTTCGGAACGAAGAATGTAGGAAGATCATGGAGACGGAACAGTGGCAGAGAGGGTAATTTAATAGAACCAGAACGGTTGTTTTAGTAACAATCTCTGAGATTGCATCTGTGTAGCTGTTGAAGTAGTAGTTGAAGATGAAGAAGATAGTTACTGGCTGAACCCAAAGAACAGCAGAAGGAATTTGAAACTCACGCGCCAGCTCAGCCAAGTGAGGAGGACCATGGTGTAAACCACGCAAATGAAAGGCCGGTTTTGACGCCTGCTATCTTTGATTAGTTCGGTTAGGGTTTCTCTGCCACGTTGTCTCATCTCAGATATGTATTGTCCGGCTGTGTCTTTGCGAGATTTTTCAGAAGAAGTAGAGGATTTGAAGCAGTCGTCGTGTCCATCGGAGTAAGTAGCGAATATTAGGGTTTCAGGGGAGTTTTCTTTGGAGAACATACTGCGGTCGTAGGCGGAGATGGGGGCGGTGAAGGTGACTCGAGCTCTGGTGATGGTTCTGGCGAGGCGTTTGGCAAGCTCGAGAGACTGGTTGATGTGGCCTTGTGATGGATATGTCACAAATGGAAAGTGTGGTCCGATAGGTGACATTGACGAACGTTATTGCTGTCCATTTCTTTATTTTTGTTGGTGTAGTTAATGAAAGACAATACACAAGTTTAGATTTATATAGAGATGATACTAACAAAGCCACATGTACAGAACTTAAGAGTAGCAACTAGACTAAGTACATTGAACAACAAAATTTTGTGACGTTAGTGATGACGAATAAACTATAAGATAAAAACAACTTTGGAGTCAATGTATACAAGTAGCGGTCGATTTGTCCTCTCCTGCTAAAGCGAACGAGAAAATTATTCAATTACGTAATAAATATGATTCTATTTTGACAATAACTTCCAAATCCACAATAGAATTGTGACTGAAGACGGAATTGACTGAGAGTATGAGATAGTATTAATGGTGTTTGGCTTTTCAAATTAGAAGCTGAAATGAGCCAAAGAGTTAAACAAACCGTTTTCAACAAAGAGAACAATGAGGTCTTTTTTTCAAAATCAAACGGGTGTCGTTCCATCACTCAAACTAGAGGTAGTTTATGAATCTAGACCGAGATAAAACAACCAACAAAATAAAGACTCCTATGAAATTATTAGGCGGTTTTAGCTAGCACATCAGCTGTCTTGTTGTGATTCCTCGGAATGTGTGTTATCTTAAAATGTTGAAACCGTCCTTGAATGGCTGTAACTCTGCTAGCTCTGTCAACATTTTATTCCTCGGAATGTGTGTTATTACTCAACCTTGAGGTGGTCTGGATAACCAGACCGGAATAGAACAACCAACATACAAGAGCTTACGATAAAAGAACCTAGCTGTCTTAGCTAAAGAATCAGAAAATCTGTTATGTAACCTAGGGACGTAAAAAGTCTTGAAATCAGGGAAGCAAATCCTCAGTGTCAAGAGTTTTTCCAATTCCGTTGAGAAGCTAGGCCATTCGTGGGGATTCCTGAGCATCTCGATCATCTCCTTGCAATCAGTTCCAAAGCTCTGACATGGCGACTGTTGAATTATATTCTCTATTGCCCACCGCAGTACCTCCAACTCTGAATGCAACACGACTCCATTCTATCAAAATTGCGCAACCCCATTAACTGGCCATTTCCCGAGCTATCATTCCAGACCCAACCACATCCACTGAAATGATCAGTAGATGTCCAAGATCTATCCACCATGCATATGTTACCCAGACTTATGGCCTGGTTTTCCTCAACTTTGTTCTCTGGGGATGACGGTATATCTTCTCGTTTGCTCAGAACCATGCTTGACACTCACTTTTTGCATACCGCGCTAGCTCCAAAGGGTCTCTATCAATACCTCTGACAGCTTGTCATTCCGAGCCTTACAAATATACCAAATTAGCCAGGGATAAGGATCCCTATCCAATTCCGGTTCCATTATAGAATTTTCCTCCAGAAGAGGTAATCCATGTTCGCATATGTTCTCTGAAGTGGAAACAAAGAAGGACTGGTAGGCGTGGATGATAAAGCTCAAACTTGCAATGCAGGTGGACATTCGAAGATTGCATGTGTAATTGTTTCTTCGGGTTCCCCACAACGTGGGCAGTGATTATTACATCTCATATGTCTATAATTTAAGATGCTCGTAACAGAAACAACCTGTTATTAATTTCCACATAAGATGGCATATCTTTTTGGGGAGCCTTGATCTTCCAAGCATGTGATTGAAGCTTTATGATGCTAGGTTCGCATACAGCAGAGTCCTCTTCCTTCATCAAAATATTTCATACTACCCAGTATCCAGATTTAACTGTATACTATCCATTCCTCGTATAGCTCCAGCAGTACGCATCCCGGCGATGTGTGGAACTAATGGCCAGACTCTTAATATGTGGTATATCGGCAGAAGCTACATAATTCTCAAGGCGGCTCTCATTCCAAGTCTTTTTTTGCTTGATTAATTAAATCGCTCACTTTCATGTTCGGATTCAAAACCGGTGCCAATGGGGTTGTTGGTCTTGCTGGGATGGTAGAGATCCAATCCTCCCAGACTTTTACCTCATACCCCGAATGAACCTTTTGTATAATTCCCAGCAATAGTAATTATCGTCCCGCCGATATGCATGTCCACACATATGATGGGCTACTAATAGTGAGCTGACGCAAAGGCGAACTCAATCTGTAGTACCTGCCTCTCATAACACGAGCTACCAGGGAATCCAGATACTGAACTAGTATCCATAATTGCTTTGCTAGTAGCGCCAGGTTGAACTCATGTATCGTCCTAAAGCCAATCCCTCCTTCCTCCCTGGGTAAGCATAACTTGTTCCATGTCGTCCAATGAATACTCTTTTTTTTTTGGGGGTGGGGGGTTTGAACTCCACCAGAACTATGCGGTGGCACTAGCTAAATTCTCACAAATCTCCAATGGAAGAAGAAAGATGGACATTACATAAGTTGGGAGAGCCAGCAGTATCGATTTTATCATAACTTCTTTGCCACCTTTTGATAGCCACCGTCCATCCATTTACTCTACTCCTTAGCTTGTCCTTAAGAAAAGCAAAGAGCTTGCATTTGGATCCACTGATATCCTTTGGGATTCCTAAGTATGTACCCATTCCTCCTTCATTTTGGATCCCAAGGGTGTTTTTGATCTCTTGTCGTACATCCTGGCTGATTCTTTTACCAAAGAGTAAAGAAGACTTATCAAAGTTATTGCATTGTCCTGAAGCTTGTCCATATTTCTTGACCACTTTCATAAATTCTTCGCATTCACGGGGCTCTGCCTTACAAAAGAATAGGCTATCATCAGCAAAAAGAAGGTGGGATACCGAAGGGCACGCACGCGTGATGTGCATCCCCGTTATCTTTCCTTGATTCTTTGTGTGATTTAGAAGGCTAACGAGCGCTTCCGTGCATGAGAATAAAAAAGAAGGGGGACAGAGGACCCCCCTGTCGCAGACCTCTCTCCGGGACGATATTCCCTGGCCACTGTCCATTCATGAAGACTTTGTACTTTATTGATGTTATACAACGCATTATCCAGGTTATCCAGACTTATGAGAAGCCCATCTTTCTCATGGTGGCCTCGATGAAGGACCATTCCATTCTGTCATACGCCTTGCTCATGTCTGCTTTAATGGCCATCCTCTTATTTTGTCCACTCGGTTTTGTTCTTAAGGCATGGAACATCTCCTGAGCGATCATAATGTTGTCAAATATCTGTCTCCCAGCAACAGAGGCTGACTGGGTTTCTCAAATCCTATTTGGAAGAACCTTTTTTAATCTCTGGCATAGGACCTTATAGATTATCTTGTAGCTAACGTTACATAAACGTATAGGTCGTAGCTGGCTCATCTGATTAGGTGTATCCACTTTCGGAATGAGGCATATGTTTGTATCATTTAAACCAGAAGGGAACGTTCCTTCAAACAGGAATTGATTAACCATAAGAGTTAGATCAGCCTTTACAATATCCCAAAATTTATGGTAGAATAACGCAGTCATTCCATCCGGCCCTGGGGCTTTCTATGGATGCATAGCAAAAAGAGCCAATTTAACCTCCCACTCGGTGACTGGAGCTGTGAGGGTCTCATTATCTGCTGGCGTAATTGTAGTAGAAACTTCAGTTAGTGCTCCTTTATCTCCTCGGGATTTGATGATTGTCAAATGTTTCTAAAAAAACTTGTAGCAATGGGTACAAGTCCTTCCTCATCCTCCACAGAATTCCCATCTTCATCCAGTGATTGGGTTATCTTGTTCCTCGCTCTTCTCTGCTTCGTGAGAGCATGAAAAAATTAGTATTTCTATCTCCTTCCCTTAACCAGAAAATCCTACACTTCTGCTTCGAGAACATCTCCTCCGCCTTAAGAGAGTCAGAAAGTTCCTTTAAAGCTGCCGCAATCTCTGCTGTGGTAACGTCATCGTTGGAAGATAATTGATCCACCTTTTGCTTCAACTCCTCCACCGTTTTCTCTGAGTTCAGATTATGTTGTCTTTTCCAGTCATATAAGGCTCACTGGAAACTTGCAATATGATCCATGTTACTTGCGTCAGGTGGGAGATCCGGTGATTTCCATCCCTCCAGTATGATCTGCCTGAGTTCCTTGTTGTCTAGCCATCTCTTATCAAATTTGATTTTTTTTTATCTTCTCGGTTTCTTTTTAAGAATGCCAGCTAGGATCGGACGATGATCCGATCCCCAGGGCCTCATTTACTGAACTTTGGAAATGAGGAAACTTCTCATGCCAGTGCTTATTCCCAACAGCTCTGTCGAGTCGGCATCTAACTGTAGTCCTTTCTGCTCTATTTCTTACCCAGGATAGCATGTTCCCTGTGAAAGGAAATTCCAACATACCACAATAACTCAACATTTGCTTGAAAGGTAAGAAAGAAACATATGTGCGTTGTCTTCCTCCTTCCTTCTCCGCATGATAGGTAATTTCGCTAAAGTCGCCTATCATAAACTAAAGTTCATTTTTGCTGTTGAGAAACGTATAAGACGTTCCCATACTAGATCTCTTCGTTCTAAAACAGGATCCATAAACGATGAGGTTAAGTGATGACAAAGACTCAAAGATATATGAATATATGCTTTGGTATAAATATGTATAAATGTGTAAGTAGTAATTATTAATATAGAATTCATACATGCATATTTTTATGTTTTTAAAGTTTAGTAAAAAAATTATTTTCAAGTTTGAACTTTGGTTTAATTTCTTACTAGATGCTAACCCGCGCATATATTTTTTTCAAATCTTCATTAAAATTATTCATATTATATTATACCATTTTCAAAGTTGCGGTTTATAGTTTGTATCATACAATATATTTTCTTTATAATATATTTTCTTTACATGTATAGATCTGATTTATGTTATAATATATGTTGTACATGGTGTTAGTTTATAATGTATAACTAGAATTCTATCCGCGTTAAAATGCGGGTTATATTTTTTTCTAAAACACTGATTAGGTTTATTTTAAACCAAAATCAAGAAAATAAAATATTGTATTTGATTAAGCTATTAGATAATATTTGGTTAGTTGAGTTTGTGTTATAAAGGTTAAAATAAA